TCGGTTTACTCTTGGCCTCAAAACTTTCTGTATCAAACCAGGGCTGAGAGGGAGAAGTCCTGCCCCTTGTTTGTTCCTCTTCCTTGATATCTGGGCGGACAGCACTGCTGGAGTAATGGAATCAGTTGGGTGAATTCCCAGACCTTTCTCCAGCTGTAGTAGTGGAATGGAGTTACTGTGCTGCTCCAGATAGAAAATAAAGGAACGCTATGAGGGTATCCTGGCAACGCTTGATAGCAGCTCCCGTGCAAAACACCCTGCCATCTTCTGGAGGTTGGTAGCCCCATCTTTTTCTAACAGTATTTAGAGCTCTTTGCCACAGATAACAGCCAGTATATGGGAATACCATTTTGTCACTTTATATGGTCAAGTGGAGAATTTCCAAGCAGATTTGGAGTTGGATGTGGCCTCCCTTCCCTATTGGCCCCCGGTCTCATGCGCAGAGATCAGAAATATAATTAAACAGTTCAAACCAGGGAAAGACCCCGGTTCTGATTTTCTTACAGATGAAGTAATAAAAAATAATTTGGAATGGTGGATCCAAGTGCTAGCTTCACTTTCCACAGCCATAGATCATTCAGCCATGATACCAAAGGACTGGGGCTTATAAAAAATAATTTGGAATGGTGGATCCAAGTGCTAGCTTCACTTTCCACAGCCATAGATCATTCAGCCATGATACCAAAGGACTGGGGCTTGGCTATTATAATACCCATATATAAGAAGGGCATGATCGCTGATCCAGCTAAGCATTGCCCAATCAGTTTGTTAAGTCAGATCAGCAAAATGTATGCTACACATCTACAGAAGAAACTAATCCATTGGCTTGAATCTGAAAACATTCTGATGGATGAACAGGCTGGATTTAGAGCAGGTCGATCAAGGTTAGACCATGCTTTGGTGCTGCAACATCTAATAAAAAGGCATACCCACAAATCAGAACAATTGCTTTATGCAGCATTTATTGACCTTAGGTCAGCTTTCAACACACTATCTAGAACTAAACTGTGGCATACAT